AGAGAGGCGCTTGTGTCACAGCGTCACCGGTAATATTTCATCGGGGGCTGGAGGGTATTATGAGCAGAAGAAATCCCGCTGAGTTATGATGGTTTGTGAGCAGCTCAAAGGGTGAGAGGCTCGTCACGTGTGTGGTGGTGTTTTTAGATTAGATTTAGCCTTTAGTTAAGTGTCTTCTTCTTCTTCTTCCTTTTTTAAAAACTCCCAGAGTATATTTTACCTCCCCGGTAGATTTAGAAGCTCTTTGGCAGTTCCAGGATAATGACCCTGGTGTGTTTTAATTTTCTGGACTGAGTAGCGAGACATGTGCAGCAGATAGACTGCATCTCGTCACTCCAAAAAGTAGCCGACGGCCGATCAGCAGCCGAGACAGTCGGGACTGTCCATTTATTCTAAAGGCAGAAACCCCCAGAGCAAGAAGGAGCAACATGTTTGAATCCACGGGAATCCCTCTCATCGCGCTGGATATCGCGTGTCTTATCCTGGGTATGTAAATCAAATTCTGTCCCAACCTGAAGACATCTTTTAAACTGTTTATTCATCGGCTACCAATATCTAACAAAAAAGTTGTTTCGTAGTATTTGTTTTTACATCAAACTGAATTTAAAGGAGTGATCTGTCAGAGAGACGTTAGATAAAGTTGATGTCAAAGCAAATCTATTCAAATGGTATGGATATATATTATGTAAATGCTCATGGGAAGGCTTGAGGTTTAGGTAACCTGGCAGGAAGATGGAAAAAGGGCGATAACGTCCCACCCTGTTTGTGTTTCCCGAGCAAAGCCGTATTTTTAGCCCACTGTTTGAAATGTAATCATAGCACAGAGCCTGGTGCACGTCTGCGAAAGGGATCCGACAGTGTTGAGGTAATCATGCAATAAAAGACAATGACTGGAGTTTTAGTGATAGCTGTAAAAGCCTTGAACCTTGTATCTGGGACACTCACTTCAGTTTGATAGTTGCCGTGTTTGATAAGGACAGATACAGGCAGACACTCAAGCCCTTCCCTGTGATTACAAGGCACTCCTGCTTCACTGCTTAGTCAGGGTCTTGTGGTTGACTGTGCAATGCTGAGTCGTACATCTCATTGCTTGTTTTGTTTTGGAGCTGGCACCAGTCAGACTGGAAAAACTGAGTCTCTGATTTTTACCCTGTTTTTAATTCTTAAACAGAACTTATAATTGAAAGAAATGTTGAAATCCATTTATTTACGTGAAATGAGTTTAATACCTGCATTTAAGGTGTACTGCTGTAAAAGTATCCATGCAAAACAGTAACAATACTGGATGCATCATTGTATAAGCAGCATTTGAATGCTGTGTTAAAAGTAGGACTGAACAACTCTGTGCACTGATTACAGATTTTTTTTTGTAATTTTCTTTTTACAGTTATCAAACAAACAGATGTACAGTGTTCATCTCTGAAATAATATATAGCGTATTATGGTCATACTTCGATAAGGTGCATGTATATATATAGTCTTATATATCTAGACTACATGCAAGCCTGTGAAAAACTAACTACACCCTTGCTGCTTCCTAGGAATTAAGATGATAAGTGCTGCTAGTGAAATGCACTTGATTAATTGCTCATCAGCAAGTGTGAGCTTTAAGTGTTTATCTTTAAAAGCAGAAGTTTTGTCATTCTGCTGCTCTGGAGCAATCAGCTGTATGTAGACACATTGCTCAAGTCTTGGAGTGAAGTGGAGCTTCTGACAAATTCACCTTTATGTCAAACTGTGAAAATTCTCCCAAAATCCAAGAGCTTAGACTCTCCAGGTCCAATTTAGCATGTTAAGCTCTAAAGTTCACGATGGTGGGGATGCCAGTTTAGCTGACTGGTTGAGCAGGGGACCATATGGCCAGGGGACCATATAAATCCCTGACAAAGACTAACTAACTAACTAAAATGAAAACAAAACAGTACACTTTTAAACTGTACTGTACTTTTGAACAGATTTCAACCTGATGTCAACAAAGAAGACAGAAAATGAACAAACTAGTTAATGAACTGGTTCCTTATTTTATTGTTTGATCTGCGTAATTAAAATTTCTGCACGATTATACCTCATATGTCCTGAACAGTAAGTTCAAGTTTATTCAGGATTTCAGAACGATTTACTTTGTGCTTCAGTGACTCTATATTTGGTCATTTAGCCTAAAAGCATTAATACCAATGATTCCTCAGTCTTCATGTTTGGAAATATACCTGTTATTGCAATACTGTTTTCAGTTTAGCCAAGAGACGGTGCAGTTTTGTAATGTCTAAAGAAGCCACAGGGGAAGGGAAGGGCACAAGTCAGAGCACGTTTCATATGTTATGGTGTTCTCTGTACAGATTAACATGATGGGTTCAGTGTTTAACGCTAAACATGTGACTTACGTGCCAATAAAAATTGTCTTCCTGCTGTATATTCACAGATTTGCCTGGTTACTTTTTGAAAAAATGTTTTTGCAGTAATTCAAGGCCTCAGGCAGTTAATTATGAAATAGTATGCCCTTTTTGGGAGGAGTACAAAGGGAAATCTCACAATGAAGAAGTGTTGAAAGTGTCTCTTCGAGAAGAAAGATTTTCTGTGTGATCCAGACAGATCATGTTTCCTGTGTCTGAATCATCACACTTTTTAAAGCATTGTATAGCAGCAGCATTGCAAATATTAATGACATAAGATGAGCTGAAACCTGAAATTGTTCCATTTGCTCCATTTTATTTTTAGTTGGGCTTCCATTTTTTATCCTTACCCCGAAACACAGCCCTTTCAAACGGGGTTTCTTCTGTAATGATGAGTCCATCAGGTACCCGCTCAAAGAGGACACCATATCCTACCAGCTGCTGGGAGGAGTCATGATCCCCTTCACACTGATTGTAGTAAGTCAGGAGTATTCTTCTACAACCAAAGCCTCTTATTTTGCCTTTGGTCAACATGTGTGACTATTTTTTCCCCCCACTTTGGATCTTTTTCCTCAGATCGTATGTGGAGAGTGCCTTTCTGTTTACCTGTCACGCGTCAGGAACCAGTCTTTGGGGACCAAGTATATTTCATGTCTTTACAAAGCTGTGGGGAGCTACGTGTTTGGAGCTGCTGCCAGCCAGTCTCTGACGGACATAGCCAAATACTCCATTGGTCGTTTGAGGCCAAACTTCCTGGCTGTATGCAACCCAGTGTGGGATCGTATCAACTGCAAAGCTGGTGGATACATCGTGAACTTCACCTGCAGCGGGGATGAATTTCTGGTGGATGAAGCCAGGTAAAGATCCTGAGCACAAACCAAATGAAACCTATTTGATTTAATGTGGTGTGATTGTTGCAGTGCATTTGCCCTATAATTTTTTGTACTGTTTAGCATTTGCTGTTTACAAGTGAGATATGAAATACACCCACATTAATAATAATTACTGTGTACAACAACCTCTGCGTGAATCGCTACCGAGGGGTTTGTGTGTCCCAGGGATCCCAGGGGCTATGTTGTCTGGGGGCTTTTGCCCCCTGGTAGGGTCTCCCATGGCAAATTGGTCCTGGGTGAGGGACCAGACAAAGAGCGATTCAGACGACCCTTATGAGAAAAACATCGAGGGAACAGTTTACCCTGCCCAGGTAAACCCTGCCCAGGAGCGGAGGCCCTGGCGGACTGAAAGGCCCGGGGAGGGTGCCCGAGGGCGAGCGTCTGGTGGCCGGAGACTTTCAGATTAAAAACAGGCAATAAGTGGGCTAAAACCAGATTGAGAGTGTGGCCACACTTGCGTGGGTGCAGACACACATCGAACTAAATTAAAAGAATCGGTAAGATTCAAAAAGTCTTTAACCATAGGCTTATCTGGACAGCACACCTGAATATTAAAATCCCCAACAATAAGAAAGGAGTCATATATAGGGGGATCACACTCCTCAGCCTCCCCGGGAAAGTCTATGCCAGGGTGCTGGAAAGGACATTTCGTCCGCTAGTTGAACCTCAGATACAGGAGGAACAATGCAGTTTTCGTCCTGGTCGCGGAACACTGGACCAGCTCTTTATCCTCTCAAGGGTACTTGAGGGTGCATGGGAGTTTGCCCAACCAGTCTACATGTATTTTGTGGACTTGGAGAAGGCATTCGACCGTGTCCCTCGGGGTGTCCTGTGGGAGGTGCTGCGGGAGTATGGGGTGTCTGGCCCATTGCTACGGGCCATTCGATCCCTGTACAACCGTTGCAAGAGCTTGGTTCACATTGCCGGCAATAAGTCGGACTCGTTCCCGGTGGGTGATGGGCTCCGCCAGGGCTGCCCTTTGTCACCGATTCTGTTCATAATTTTTATGGACAGGATTTCTAGGCGCAGCCAAGTAGTGGAGGGCTTTCACTTCGGTGGCCTCAGAATCTCATCTCTGCTCTTTGCGGATGATGTGGTTCTGTTGGCTTCATCGGGTGAGGGCCTCCAGCTCGCACTGGAACGGTTTGCAGCCGAGTCTGAAGCAGCGGGAATGAGGATCAGCACCTCCAAATCTGAGGCCATGGTTCTCAGCCGGAAAAGGGTGGAGTGCCCACTCCGGGTCGGGGATGAGTTCCTGCCCCAAGTGGAGGAGTTCAAGTATCTCGGGGTCTTGTTTGCGAGTGATGGGAGAAGGGAGCTGGAGATCGACAGACTGATTGGTGCTGCGGCCGCAGTAATGCAGACGCTGCACCGGTCCGTCATGGTGAAGAGGGAGCTGAGTGTAAAAGCAAAGTTCTCAATTTACCGGTCGATCTACGTCCATACCCTCACCTATGGCCACGAGCTGTGTGTTGTGACCGAAAGAACGAGATCGCGGATACAAGCGGCGGAAATGAGCTTCCTCCGAAGGGTGGCTGGCCTCTCCCTTAGAGATGGGGTGAGAAGCTCAGCCATCCGGGAGGGGCTCAGAGTAGAGCCGCTGCTCCTCCACATCGAAAGGAGCCAGCTGAGGTGGTTCGGGCATCTGACAAGGATGCCTCCTGTGTGAGGTGTTCCGGGCATGTCCCACCGGGAGGAGGCCCTGGGACAGACCCAGGACACGCTGGAGAGATTATCTCTCGGCTGGCCTTGGTGTTCCCCCGGATAAGATGGAGGAGGTGCCTGGGGAGAGGGAGGTCTGGGCTTCTTTGCTTAGGCTGCTGCCCCCGCGACCCGGCCCCGGATAAAGCGGAAGAAGATGGATGGATGGTGTACAACAGGACAGTTTTAGACACTGATTATGACAGAAGGACTTAAACATAAAAGGCTGATTTTTTTTTTTCTTTTTCTTCTTCTAAATTTCAATTTCTCGTTTATTTATTGTAGACTGTCCTTCTACTCTGGTCATTCATCCTTCTCTATGTACTGCATGCTGTTCCTTGTTGTAAGTATATATTGTCTTTAATACAAACTGATTTGTTGCTTTGTTAAAGAGGAGATACTAAAATCTTTGGTATTTGCTCTCTTGCTACTGTAGCTATACATTCAAGCCCGGCTGAGGTCACAATGGGCGAGGCTTTTGCGTCCCACCATTCAGTTTTTCCTGATTGCTACTGCAGTGTATGTGGGTCTATCTCGGGTGTCCGATTACAAACATCACTGGAGTGATGTGCTCGCTGGCCTTCTGCAGGGCGGTATAGTGGCTGTTCTAACAGTAAGTTTCATGTTATTATTCTTTTTTTAAATACAGTTCTAGTACAGTTACAATACTAGAGTACTAACTTTCTCACGTTTCCTGCAGGTTTTCTGTGTCGCAAACTTCTTTTTACAACCAGTGGAGCCAGTGGTGACACAGGAGGAAGAAGCCTCACATGCCAGTTTACAGGACAACCCTTCCAATGGGAACCACTATGGCAGCACTGAGTGAACATGAGGCCCAACAGACAATACAGTGTGGGGACCTCTATCCTTTAAATCCATGGAACTGAAGAATTTTTTTTAAATTGTTGTCCGTTTTTTGTGTGCATGTCTTGAACACGTTTTGCCACCATGCAGTAGCCATTGCAACAGCCTGCAGGCTTTAGCTGCTACCTAGTGTAGCCATGAAACTTTGGTCACAGGAAGAAAATGCACTACAGAGGATGAGACTTGCATCGCAAAAGAAGCATGACTTCCTGGCGAGTTTTAGTTAAATCCAACATAATGCTGTTTATTATGCAGCCGTAAAACAAAACACAGCATGTTGAGTTTAAGTTATTTTTATGTTTTAATTTACAGTGTGAGCTTCTGGAAATGTGGTTACTCTTGCGTATTGGTTTAATGCATCATGAATGAATGGAATTCCTTTTGCCCAGAATATAAAGAGTGTCTGTGTGTGCACTGCAAGCAGGCGTTTAGCGGCCTGAAACCTGTGAATAAGAAAACCAAGACTGCCCTTAAAATAGAGTGAACTGAGAAATCTTGTGCTCATCTTATGTTTATTTTTGCCTTAGAGTTTTGCTGCTACCTGCTGTTAAGTAATTTCCCTGATATAATTTAATCTATGTAAAATACAGTTTATTGACTTTTTTTGGTTTCTTTTATAGATTGTATAAATTTCTATGTTTCTGTCCACATTTAAGCTTTTAAAAGTACCGTTTCCAATACTGAGAAGAAATGAGACAAATAATAAAGAAAATGTCATTTTGCTACTTTGAGTCAAAGAAAATAAGCTAATCCTTTTATGCCTTATCTATTCAAAAATACAGAGTAGATATAATGCAAGTAACTAGTGACTTGTGAATTTATTTATTTATTTTACAAAACTAGACTAATTTGCTGCTGCAGAGTAGCTAATTTAATGTCGTGGGAAAATAAAAGGACTGAAAAAGAGGGAAGGAATAGAGTGATGATGATTTTGAAAATTAGAATCCGCACTAAAACCTAAAAGTTATTAATACAAAACACTGGCTTTGCTTGTCATTTAGTTTAGGTGACCTTTTAAACCGCAAGTATGCAAATGTAGAGGATTTTATCAAAGGATACTTGTTTTCCAAGTGATGTTATGGATATGTGGATATATATAGGGTAAGCACCAGTAAGCATGCTAACAGGCAGACTATCACTACGCATTTGTCACCCGTGGTTGCAAATGACTGAGGTAAGAATGTTCTTTAGAGTTGAAATCCCATCAACCTGATTTAATTACCTGCATGCTAGCTAGTTCTTTAGCACTCAGTAATAGCAGTAGAACACACAAAAATCAGCTCAGATGTACTAAAGTTGTTTAATTTTGGTTTGTGATCCTAAATAGGGTAAATCACCTCATTTATGCGCTTGCTAATAGTTAAAGAAATAGTTAAAGTATTATCTTAATCTCAATGCAAAAGCAGCTACAGTATGTTTGCATCATAAGGACATTTGTGATTCTTTGTGGTGAACTAAAAACATTTCTAAATGAAGATGAAAGCAGGAGAGGTCTCTGCTGGAAGTAAGGTCAAAGTGGACAACAAATTAAAATGTGCTTCCACCCGTCCATTAGTTATAGACTAGACTTGTAAATTATTAGTTAATTATCAAATTACACAAAAGAGTTGTGGCTAACTGGAGTTTTAACGTATTAACACACTCTGTGTGGTGGTTAACACATTTACCTTACATGCAAAAGAGACTTAGAGCCTTT